GGACTGACAGAATTGGCTTTGTGAAAGTTCTTCCTACTAGTCCAACTGAGTCGAGCGCCTCCGGAGAAGGAATCAGTAAGCCGACCACTGGACTAGAAGCAAACATAATGTTGACAACAAGAAATGCTAAAGGGGAACAGTGTTATGAAAAGCGTGACTATGTAACAGTTGAGATAAAAAATCAGGATGGCCATGACTGTGCAACGGAGACACGAGTCCAGGATAACAAAGATGGTAGCTACAAGATCAGCTATTTTGCGAAAGAAACCGGAAAATACGGTGTGTCTGTGAAGGTCAATGGAGAGCACATTCGTAACAGTCCCTTTGCTGCTGAAGTAAAACCCAGACAGTTCAGACCCGTGTTATCCTTCGGAAAACATGGTTCGGCCAAGGAAGATTTTACATATCCCTGGGCAGCAGCAGTGAACGAACGCGATGAAATTGTAATCACTGACAGTTGTAACAACAGGGTCCAGGTATTCAGTAGTGATGGAACTTACTTAAGATCATTTGGGTCTAAGGGGAATAAAGAGGGAGAGTTTAACTCGCCTAAAGGGATTGCAATCGATAATGAAAGTGGAATCATCTTCATAGCAGATACAGCTAATCACCGAATTCAACTTTTCAGTGAGCAGGGGGAGTTTCTGAACAAGTTTGGTGTAGAGGGAAATCTTGATCACCAACTCAGCTTTCCTTACGGGTTATCCATCGGTAGTGACGGAAATTGCATTGTGGGTGATAGCGGAAATAATAAAATTAAGTTATTTTCCCGTACCGGCCAGTTTCAACGTAGTATAGGCTCTGAGGGTTCTTTCACCTTTCCCTTTTACTGTATCCAGTATAAGGAATATCTTATAGCATCAGACTTTAAGGAAGACTGTATCAAAGTTTTTGACAAAGCTGGACATTTTCTGTACAAATTTGGAAAGCGTGGAACAGGGGACGGGGAGTTCAATGGACCTTATCATTTGTCAATTAACAAAGCTGAGCACCTGATGGTCTGTGATGAAAACAATCATAGAATTCAGCTGTTTGAGGTAAACGGAAATTTTATTGGAAAATTTGGCTCAAAAGGAAAAAAGATAGGACGATTTTCTAGACCACTTTCTTCAGCAGTCCTCAGTGATGGTAGGATAGTTGTTACTGAATTTTACAATCATCGGGTGCAGATATTTGAGTAGCCGTATGTTATGAAGTGTTATAATAGTAATATCCATGATTAATTTTTCACATTCTTTAAACATTTTATTGACTTCATGTGAAATCTTCTTGTTACATTTGTAGTTTTAAACTTGAATTTTTTAACAATGTTACGTTTTACAACTTGCCCTCCAATTGTAGCCAAGAAGATTACTCGCGCAAACGAGTTTCAATGGACATAGCAGGTAAACATAGCCCTTCGTCAGAGCGATCGCCCTGACGAAGGGCTAACGCTCGAAACGTCAGCCTTTTAACTCCTTACGGCAGTCAATTTACGTTTTCAACTCAGATGTAAACACTAAATTAACTGTTATAATCTCCCACCAACGCAACACCACAGGTTCTTTATAAACTTACCCACTTTATTCAATGGACATAGCTCTGTATCCAGCGAGTTGAGTAATATATAGATTTAGGCAAGCCTAAAAGCGGAGCTCGCATTTTTTTTTCCTGCACGTCTCTTAACAAAACTAAAGCCCTTACTAAGGATAAAGTGCATGGTAATATTAATGGATTTTCATTCGCGACTTCTCCGTGTCTGTGTAGAGGACTGATTATAAGATAGTGCCAGTGGTACAGTTGGCGGCGCATGCTAAAAGTAGCACCTTGTACAGTCGTACGGTCGTACATCCAAATTTTTTCGGCTTGATGGGTTACTACTATTTTGCATAATTATGGGGCTATGCTCTGCGAGCTCCGTTATTAATATCATAAAGGTTTGTTAACTATATTAGCTTTTTTTCTGAAAAAGAATTCACTTGATAATTTGTAAAAGGATGTTTACAAGACTCGATTTGGTGATTCATTATGTACACTTTGAGACTGACTGTTGAACTCCAAGATAGAAGGTAGTGGTTAGGGAATGGATTTTTTCTGATTTTGTTGTTGTGTTAGTCGTTTTTGGTTATAGGCTTTTGAGATTTAATAAAAGGTAGCGCGGAATTGTCTCTCTACTTAGGAGAGTCAACAAATAAGAATTCCACCATATTTTTAATTTTCAGTAACGTGAATAGAATAGAAAAAAAAAAGGAAAAACTGAAAAAGTCAGGTAGTGAATCAAAGACTACTGGAAAATTTTCTCGCTGCACGTAGGCATCGTATGCAGTGCTATTGAATTTTCTTGTATTTGAATGAAACTCTTTGAGTTTCGGATAAACTAACTCAAAAACTTCTTTCCATAATACCAAGACTGCAAATTGCCGGAGAACGTTGTTCCCAGGTATCAGACCTTGTTTTAAATAATTTGTGCTTAATTAGATTTGAATTTCTTTTACAATACTTAGATAGGATTAGTGTAATATAAATTTATTGAGAGCATTTCTTGTTTTTATTCTAACATGTTTTATCATGATATCTACTACTTTTGTAATTTTTGAATTACAAAGATTGCTTAGTCACCAGCAAAAGTCTAAAAGGAAGTTTTTATGTACACAATCCTTTCAGCTAAATGACTAATTGTCATTTCTCAGACCTGATTGTAGTTATGATGGGATGATCAAGTTCGCGCATGTGAAACAAATGCAGCTCTTTTTTAAGATTTATATTTAGCGGTCACCACTATAACGTTTATGACACTGTTACCAATAAATTTGGCCTCTTTAATTGCTTCGTATATGTTTCATCTATCACGAAAGGCGGGGCTGAACAATCCAGAGAAAACGAAGTTTAATGGATTTCAAATTCAGAGATCTTTTCAGAGATCTTGTGTTGCCGCAGTGATTGGATTAGTGTGTGTCATTTCCCAAGGCTGAGTGCAAAAGTAAACTGTCAAAACATATTGTTAGGGCTTGAAAAACGTTCGAAATCAGCGCCTTTCATTTCCTGTATCGCTGAGTCGGAATATTTAAATCTATGACTTAAAGCTTAGTCTAACCAACTTAAGTTTGAGGCCCAATGGGTATCCGATATATGTAGACATGTCTGTATTTCCCCGCGCCAGTGTTAGATAATATACACAGCTGAAAATCGATCTGATTGTGTTTTACTAGTAATACATATCGTCATTCCTGTTTTAACCCGAGCGGGGGTGAAAGCCTGTCATACAGGTCACATTCTGAGCGGAAAATCATATAAAGCTGAAGGGTTGGTCACTCTTTCGTCACTTTTCTACGACATGAATAGTGGTTCTGTCTAACAGGTCAAAAACATCTCTTTCGTTGTTTGATCTTCTTCATAGTGGTTCTGTCTGTAAGTTCAGAATCGATTCATGTGAAACTGGACGGCCTAAATTTAACTTACGTACTCGATTGACTTGTGGGCTAAGAGTCAAAAAAAAAAAAAAAAGAAATGGATGAATTTAATTTCAAACCGGCTTAGTACTGAATCAATAAAATATTTGAACCGATCAAGTCCTGTATTTGGGCGATTTCAAAAGGGATGTGTTAAAGTGGTAATTGAACCTCGTGTAGTGCAATTTGGTCTGAAATCATACTTGTGTTTTCAAATCGAACTCGCGCTGCGCGCTTGTTCGATTTTGAGATCACGCGTATCATTTCAGCCCAAATTGCACTCCACTCAGTTCAATTACCATTGTTTAAATTTAGCGGTTAGCACCGTAACGTTTACGATGTTGTTACAAATACATTTAGCTTCTTTGACTGCTTCGCCTATTCCATCGATCATGGAAAGAGGGGCTGAACAATCCTGAGAAAACGCAGTGTAATGGATTACAAATTTGGGTTTGAGAACTTGTGTTGCTGCAGTGATTGAATTATTGTGTCATTTCCCAAAGAGTGCAATGGTAAAACGTAAAAACATTGGCGCTTACAGAACGTTCGAAATCAGCGTCTTTCATTTCCTGTTTCGCTGAGTTGATGAGCAATCAGCCAAATTGGAATATTTAAATCTAAGAGTTAAATCTAAGTCTAACCAACTTCAGTTCGAAGCCCAATGACTATCCAGTATATCTAGATATGTCCGAATTTTCCCTGCATCAGAGTTAGATAATATATAGAGCTGAATATCGATATGACTGTATTTTGACAGTAATGCATGTCGTCATTCCTGCTTTTACCCGGGTGGTCAGTACTATACAGGTCACATCTGAGTGGAAAATCCTATAAGCTGAAGGGTTGGTCATTCTGTCGTCACTTTCCTACGACATGAATGGCGGTTCTGTCACCTGCACTGTAACAGGTTAAAAACATCTCTTTCGTTTTTTCAGCATCTCTCTTAGGCAAATATTCTTGTTTATGCCTGCAATGATGTTAGCTTTTGCACGTAATCATGGTTAAGTTAAATGACCTGTAAGTTCAGTATCAACTCATGTGAAAACTGGACGGCCTAAATTTAACTTATTGACTTGTGGGCTGAAATCAAAATAATGACATTTTAAGTTTCGCCTATGATGATTTGGTTTTCAGACTCGAGAGCAGGTGCAAGCCCCGTCAAAGCCCAAATTATTTTTCAGGCTGCAGTTACTCTTCAACCGATTTCCGGTCAAAACAAGTAAATAATGGGTAATTATTCTCTTACAAGAAAGCACATCACGTTGATTGGAACTTTTCTCGTTTCTTTTAATATTAGCGGCATTCCACACGAAATTTTCAAATGATAGTGGTGCTGGTCTTTCAGAGCAGCATGTCCTATGTTTTATGAATAAAAGAGTTTTTCAAAGAAGATGTCTGATTGCGTGTATTTGTTTTCGACACCTTTGAAAAATGAATGATGTCTTCACTTTTTTTTGTGTGTTTGAAACGTCCATAGTATTAGAAGGCGTGACAACACCTGTCACGCAATCACCTCCTAACGAGAAACATTCATGTCCATTGGTCAGCGGGTATTACTCCAAAATATAATAAATTACTGCCATGTCAGTTTAGGAAAAACTTAGTGTTTGTACTGTATAAAAGTCGCCCTTAAACGGAGAAAGACATCCAGGTGGTCTTCACAAATGAGATAAAACTAACATGAAGCACGCAGAAGAAGAGTGTGTTCAAAAATTAACGGTGAAAAGACTCTTTCTCACCCGTGGAAAACTGAAAGCATCAAGTCGCACATCGGCTTTGATGTCCGGTTTTGCCATGGTAAGTGTTTTAATGTTTCAAATTTTCTAACTTTAGGAAACAGAATACGACTTTATTCAAATTTTGTGACGTTTAACAGAGAAAAATTAACGTGTGGATCTCTAATTATACTGCTTTTTTATGGAATTTTTTTGTTTACAAATGCGTTTTGTTATGAATTTAAATTACTCTTATATGTTAATTCTGATTGTTAAAAGCGAGTCTTTGTTGTTTTGAGAATTTTATCTTTTCCACATTTGCACAGCGTTTTTTCGTTTTCATCCGTTGCGGATAGGTTAATTGTATTTGGACAAGTTATAAGATCTTTGCATGATCTTTGCGTCATGTGGAAGTTGAACATTCAGCTTTAAAATATAACTGAGATACAATGATCACCCAGCACCTGTAAACCCATTAAAAAATTTAAGTTTATTTTTTTAAAAGCAGTAGACTGTACTTTCGGTTATTTACTGGTGCAATAACCCACTTGGGATGGTGGAAGAATACTCGAGAAGTTTGTAAATCACGAGCTGGGGGCGAGTGATTTACGAACTTTTCTTGTCCTCTTACAACATCCTGCATGGCCTGCATGGACCATCATGTTGGTTAACTGACAGAAGGTGCTGTCTCTTGCTTAAATGGAGCCTGGATAGGGGACGCAACTCATCTTGAGCTACATGAAGGGATACTCTGTCCGATGGAGATACAATATTTTTTAGGTCAGACATAGAGAGGGGAGTAGGGAGTTTATTTCCATATTCTATCATGTGTAATGGTCATCTGGTGCCCTTGAAGAGAAAGTGGTGAGAAGAATTGCAGTTGTTCCGCCTGAAAGACAATCCGCTTGAAGTCAATCTGCCTGAGAATGAAAGTCGATCGGCCTGGCAAACAAACAAATTACAAATTACAAAGATTATGTTGTTATTCCATTCTTTTGATTTCTTTTAGTAATGTTTGTAGATATTTGTTGACCATGCTATCAAAACAACAGCTCATTCAACTGCTGGAATATTTAACTTCTGCAGAACTTCTGCGGAATGTCAGTATACAACTCAGCAAAAATATTAAACCATTCATGTTGTGTTTTGTTACAAAAACTCATAAAACATTAGTTTTATTTAAGATACCATGTTAAAGAACTCTACACAATGCATAGATAGGACGACATACACATTGGGGGAAATGACTTCGAAGTTTGGGTGGAAAGTTCTTGGGCGGAACAACCACATATCAGTGAGAAAATGTAACTGCTGTACTTTATGACTAGACTTTTCATGGAGAGTTACTTAAAGGAAGGTGTATTCTAGCAGTTGCATTTTCTTTCGGTGTTTAATGCTGCACCTTTTCAGGAAAAAGGAATTGAAAGAGGAAAGGGTTTTGACCATAAGGCAGAGTATCTGCATGTACATGCAAAACTTAATTTATTATCTCAAAATGCATCTGTTTACTATTGTTGCTGTACTATCCTTCCATTAATTGCACAGAACCCTTCAGTGAAGGACCTTTTCCCTGTTTCATTTCTAGGTAGCCATGGTGGAAATTCAGTTAGAACCAGGTATACCAGAAGGACTTTTGATAGCATTCAGTGTGATGACTACCATTCTGATCTCAGTTCATGTCTTTGCACTTATGATATCTGTCTGTATTTTGCCAAACATTGATGGCGTGGCAAATATTCACCAACAAGGCACCCAAGTTGTACGTGATTCTCCTCATGAAAAACTTCACACTCACATTGAAATTGCATGGATTTTCTCAACTGGTCTTGGAACACTTCTCTTTTTAGCTGAGATTGCTATACTCTGTTGGGTGAAGTTTTACAATTACAGTAAGCCTGCGGCAGTGGCTGCTTCTGTGGTATTAGTACCTGTATGCATTGTGTTTGTATGGTTTGCAGTGCACTTTTACCGGTCTCTTGTCCAACACAAGTATGAAAGATCATTTCAGAGAATTGAAGAACTTCAACAGATTGCAAACCAACTGCACACAGATACAGGGACAGCACCAAGCTCACCAGCAGCCAGTCCATTTCCTAATCACCGGGTTTGAGATAGTTTTATGGCACACACCCAGTGTGATATGCTTTTTATTGCCATGCTCCTTTTTCTTACTGCACTTCCCAAAATCTAACTTGCAATCCTCTCCTTTGCTGCTTCTATTTTCCTTGTAAATTGATAAAATAATTTTTATCCCAACTGAAGATAATACCCTCTAGCTCATATGTTGTGTTTCCTTATAACCTTTTTTCTGAATAATCTATCAAAACTGTAAAGGGACAGGATATGATAATCATTTTTGGAGGGATAAGATACAAATTGGTGTAAAACAATAGAAACTCCCAGAGGTGATGAACATATAACTTTACCTTATAATATCCACGCATTATCCAGCAAGTAGGTAATGAGAATACTCAGACTTATCAAGAAGAAGTTGTCATCATGGTCTATTGTCAAAAACCCACAAAAGATTGCAAGGAAATGTGTAGCAGGTAGAGGGGAGAACTAGCAATGAGATCTTGGGAGTTAAAGGGTTAAACCACCATGAGTATTTTCAGGGTGTCATCATTGTTGGTCATAAGTGCATTGTGATCTCATTTGCTCTGACTTTTCTGTGGGGTACTTTTCTTTGTATAAAATTAAATATGGAATAGTTATAAATAATTGTAAAATGCAACAGTGATTTTTTTTTAGACTAAGGGGCTTCCATTTAACACTTAAGCATGGTAATGCAAAATTCCTTTGATACTGAGCAAAGAACTCTGAAAAATTCTTAAACATTATGTAACATTGTTTAAGAATAACCACATGTGATTTCATTCTTAGGAAATTTTCCAAATCAGGGGAAGGCTTTTTGTAGTTGTTTATGATGGCTAGTACTTCTGCTGCTGATTTTGCAAATTTACCATGATTTGGTTTATTTGTTTCCATCAGTGAAGTAATAATTTAACTTCAGCCTATTGAATCAAAGTGGTATAGGCATGGACATTGGCAGTATTTGTATGATAAAAAATTGATTGAAACAGGTTGGGAATTGAGGTCCTGTCCATTCCGTTTAGCTGTATTTCTCCTTCTTTTGACTACAATTTTACATCTTACAAAGGAATTGGTATTATTTATTTTTACTGTATTCAGAACCAGCATCAACAGAATACTTTACTGAATTGGTAATGATTACTAGAGTATCAAGTAGGTTGCTGTACAAAATTTATTAAGTTATCTTACATTATATTTATTTACATGATGCAGATGCATTGTACATTACAGAAACAAATCTAAACCAGAGTAAACAATCTGCCAACATTTGTAAACATTATTGTAATCTGCATAAAGCAGAGGGGATTTTCTTGGTGAGAAAATTGATCAAGTTGATTCTTGAAAGACATTGGGCAAGTCTTTTAAAATGAATCCAGAAGATTCTCCAGATTGCAATTGGTTGATTTCTACAGTACAAATCTATACACTAGTCAGGCGTCTTTGAAAAACTTGCACTCAATCCTACCCTAGGTATTTCCATGTTCTAGTATTTCTTCATGATTAGTTAAAAAGTTTTAGACTAAGCTAAAATTTTGGTATGGATATTTAGCTATGCTGATTTTCTTCTTTTAAGGACACATATTCATAGATCAGGTTTTATCTGTTACAAAATTCCTACACCTCTGGCTTTTGTTGTTATGTACATTGCAAAAATATAGGGACAACTCAATAAAATGGTAATAAATCTACTAAGATTGTTGTTCATCAAGAAATGTATCTTCTGCCTCTTTTATTACTCCTCTTGTGTCTTGTAGTTTGCACTGTATGTGAAAAAAAAAGAAAAATTATGCAAAAAAATTTTTATTCAGGACTTAATATTTTTCCCACACTCGTGAAAATAGTTTAACCTTTTAACCCCTAGGTGTAACTGGCATCTAATTTCTCCTTACAATATCACCCCTGAATCAAACATTAAGGTCATGAGAATAAAGGAAATGATCATCAACTGAAGAAGTTCTTTCTTAAACAAATTCTCCTTGTCAGCACCTTAGGTAACATGTAGAGAACAGTTTGGAGAATATGCATACTGATGTTTAAGGGTGTGAAGAGTTGCTCAGTAAGTTTAAGTCCAAATTTATGTTGTTGCACTTTGTTTATGATAGACTTTTTATTCTCACTGGACACCTTTGACATTGCTGATCTTGACAGCACACAAAACTTTTTTTGTATATCATGAACAGAGCTTTTAAGTTGATTTTGCTGGCAAAGAGTAAGATTCTTGACTTCCTAGCATTTGATTGTGACAGTGTGGGCATCACCCTCCAGAGGGAGAATGGAGGCATACTCCCTTGGAAAATTGTGACAAAATGGAGTAGCTAAGACATGCATTCCTTTGCTCTAAGCAAGAGTTTCAGCTGCTGGAAAGTGTTTGAAGCCAGTACAAAGGGAACAATGATTACATCATATTTAAAATTATTACAGTTATTTGTTAGGTATCTAACTGTTAAGCAGCAGTTTACTATCTCAAAATCAATAGTTTAAATCAGAAACCTTAAATGCATGAGTAAAAACAATTTCAGCCTAAGAGCATAAGATTGAATTTGTTTGCGTGAGTCTCACACTCAATGTGTGAGACTTGAGAGCTCTGAAAGAACCTACATGGCCTGGCTCAACAACGATTTCTCAGATGGTCAGTTGGTTGAGCATTCAAATGCAAGATTCAAATCTTAACAGTATTCATAAATAAATCATGTTGGCATCCCACTTGTGAAAAGAACCTTACATTGTACATTATGTTTCAACACTATTTACTTTTACGAATAAGACACAAACCTCAGGTAATGGGTATGTTGTTGGGTTTGGAGCCTCATGTCGACCAAAATCTTCCACAGTGCCACATTTTGGAATGTCGTCACACCATACCCCAGTGTACATCTGCCCTCGATCAAGATAGAAGAATTTTCCCTTGCCATGTTTTTTGTCGTCTTTCCATTGACCTTCATATCGATTTTCATTTGCTGTTGAACAAGCAACAAGTACCATAACTTACTTAATGTGACACAAGAATGAATTGAGAGTCCAGGTTGTGATGATGCTCTTCTTCAGATCAGTAGCAGCCACTTTTGTTAACCCTTTCACACCTAAGATCTAAAAATAAGTTCTCTGTACTGTGCCCCTTATGTTGCATAGGATTCTAGTTCTGAGAATTTGTTGTTAAATTGAGAAATATCTCTTTATTGATCTTTTTCTGACTGCCTTTTGCCTTTCTGCTTGAAAATGTAAAGATATTGTGTAAAAATTCCTTGTTGGTCACTCCAGGGGGTGAAAGGAACCAGCAAAGAGATAATGGCCAGTAAACTTCCATAGAAATGGAAAACCAGCTTAAATTTCCATTCAAACCATGACAAAAATTTAAACTGATATATCATTATGATAGTAAATTGATGACCTACAGTCCAATCACAAAAAATAAGAAAAATGATATCCCCCTTCATGCAGGTTCACCTGTTACAAGGCACCAATGAATAACAAGCTTACCTAGTCTGAGCATTCCTTCACCATTTCTCATGTTGTTGTACCACTCTCCCTCATAAACTGAACCATCAGAAAAGTACATTCTTCCCCACCCACTTCGTTTATCAGCATACCACTCTCCTTCGAAGTATTCATTATATGAGTAGAAATTTGTTCCATAACCCTGCAAAAGAAACAATAAACAATTTATTATGAATGGACACATCAGTTGCATACAGGAAAAAAACATGATTTACTAGTATCTTTTACATCAGTTTAGAAACTCCAATAGCACCCTTCTTGATATGACAGCAATACTAATATTCACATGTTACTAAAAGTAGCAAGATTTCTGCACTTTGCAATCTACAGGTGGTAATCAAAACAATAAAAAAAAAATAAACAAACAAATAAAATTCCCACAGTGAAGTCATTAAACCGTGTCACCCTTCTTGGGGAAGTAGATATTCCTATCATGTCGAACCTTGGTCTACTAAAAAAAACATACTTTCATTTTTTATTACTATGATTACACTCCCCTCCCCCCCTGCCAAAAGAAAAAAAGCCCTTTTCATGTAAGCTCTTGCACTGTCATTTTCAACACCAGACCATTACCTTTTTCCCACATGACCTTTCTAGGGAATAGGGATGCCAAAACCTACTGTAAAATACTTGAATAAAAATTAGATTTTTTCATTGTTTTCTAAGAAAACTCTATCAAGATTGTAGTTGAGAGTAACTGAACATTTCTATAAATGCCATGGATACATACATGTCTCTTATCATTTTTCCATCCTCCAGAGTAAACTTTCCTGTATCCTCCTCCTTCAGGAACACTGTATGTACCAAATCCACAACGATGATCATCCTTCCAGTCTCCGTCATAAATAGCACCTGACTTCTTCCATGTCATAGTTCCCTTTCCTTTTGAAATAAAAACATTGTATGCTGTGATTGCCAACATAATCTGAAGGAGTAGATCTCTCCATATTTGCCAAATATCTCTCATTTGAATATGAAATATATGAAATGAATTTTAAAGTAATACTTTCCTCTTTTATTATTCAAATTTGTTTTGGCTGCTTTTCTTCTAAAGGTGTATAGTTAGTCACATACATGTTTTTCTCTCTCACTTATCTGTTATAATCGATGGAAATGACTTATTGTTCTGTTAATAAGACCTTTTACATTATACAGTTAAGATACTTGTCTGCTACTGAAATGCACCTTTCATTTTGTATTGCTGTATTATTGCTAGATTTAGGTTAGATATTCTGTTATGCGTCAAACCACTGCTCGCTTCGACTACCTGTGGCTAACTGCGAGCAGTGATTACTTTATTTTGTTTTTCAAACCTATCAATAACTGTAAACTGTTGTACTAAACTGTAATGCAAATGTGGGTCAGGATGTTTGGGACTTCAACTGGGCTAAACATTCGAAAACTACGATGTAAGAATGTTGTAAAACATCATATAATTCGAGCTCATACGCCTTTTTCCTCAGCCAGTTGATGAGTGTAATGTTAAAAAGGTAACTATCAAGCTATCGAATACGAATGCTTTCTGCACGAGCAAATTTGTAAGATGCATGGGTAGACTTCGATTCCATAGCCACTTACCATTCTTTTGATTTTTGTCCCAGTCACCAGTGTACCGATCGCCGTTCACGGAATACACCGTATGATGAACACCCTTCTTCTGTGCCTTATAATCCCATTCCTTCCACAACGGTTCACTTTTCTTCGGATGTTTAGTGATCGGCATTTTGTAGCTGTCTTCAATGCGAATTAGATAATTATTTACCCTCTGTAACTAAGGGCAGGCCTGGCTACCAACAGATAAATACCCATAACCCCTTTCGGTAACTGTAAACAAGATGGCGGCGCGCATAAACGAACCTTCTGTTTCGTCTTGTCGATAAATTTCTAGCTATGGAAGACTTAAGCGGGAAAAATGTAACTGAAAAGGAAGAGGAGGACTGCTATGCAATCGTGGGTAACATTCCAAAAGAATTTCACTCTTCTGATTTGCGAGCAATGTTCTCTAACTTCATCAACGATGAATCAAAGGGTTTTAAGTGTTTCCATTTCCGTCATCGTCCTGAGTTCAGACATGAGGCGGGATCGAGTGGCGAAGATAAAGAAATTAAGACGTCCTCGACCACGTGCTGTGTCATATTTATCCTAAAGACAAATCTTCAAGACCTAATCAATTGTTATCATGGCAAGAACTGGGTTGACCGACATGGAAAATATTTCCCTTCTAAGGCATTTATATCAAAAATCAGAGTTAAAGAAGGAGAAGGTTGGTGTTGATGTCACCCTTAACATAATTAGATTGAGAGATTGGTTAATGTAACCTTTTTGTTAGAACTCATAGGTAGATATTTTGGCTCATCATTAAGAGTGTCACAAAAACTCGGCTCCCTGACCCCTGAAAAACTCAGAGCCCTGGGTGTCTTGTAAACTCAGACCTCTTTATTCCAACCTTTATTAAAATTTGTTGCGCTTAACAATTTAAATAGATAAATATGCACATTATAGCACAGTCATGGTTTGCATCTTCAAAGTGAGAGCTAGCTTCAGTCTTTTCTGTGCAAAGAAATCAGAAAATAAAAAAAATTTAATGGTTTTTGTCTGCCAGATGAAATAGAGTAGTTGCTAAATTTCCCAAAGAATGAGGTTCATTGGGGAGAGATGTGTGTTGTGTGATACTTTCCCTCCTTAAACTTTTCTAGCCTATCCTTGAATAAAATAAGTATTATTTCTTAACTTATACAGAACACTTAAGCTCATGTGTTACAAATTTTCCTTCTTTTTCTTAGGTTCTTCAGAAGACCTTTATAGAACAAAACAAGAAAAAAAACAAAATCTTTCTCCAAGGACAAACTTAGAGTTTTCACAACATGACCTTAGAGAAATGATAGAGCTTCACCCTCCTGCTTTGATGCCCAATGGAAATGTTGGAACATCCTTGTCTATATTTAGGGAATTGATAAGAACTTGCAAGCTACCTCCTCATGTGATCAAAAAACTAGATCTTAATTTTTCTATTGGAAAGTCCAAAAAGAAGTACAGCAATGTTCCACTGGATTACACAAGCCTGGAAAAAGGAAGGGTTCTTTTGAAATCAGCACCAAATGACAGAGACCACCACTTGGGAATGAATGCAAAACAAAGTGATTTACTGAGGGAGAGTTCTTTGTTAACTACTGATAGACCAGAAACTCAAAGTTCCAAACAGGATAATGATGAAAATGTTTCTGAGAGAGAAGATAATGATGTGGTTTATGCCAGTGGTGGTAATGGTGAGAGCGATGAAGAGGAATGGGAGAGACATGAATCATTGCACAATGATGTCACAAGTCAGGAACGCACAAAAGAGAGATTATTTGAAGAGGATATTGAACTTAAGTGGGAGAAAGGTGGTAGTGGGCTTGTCTTTTACACTGATGCAGCATTTTGGAAACAACATGAAGAAGCAGACTTTGATGAGGAAACTGCAGATGATTGGGATGTGGATATGGAAATTTATGAAAATCCAGGTATGAATGTCATTACAATTTTCCCCCTAAAAAGCGTTAGTAGGAAGTTAATGGCTAGGAAAAAAAAATAATATTAATAAACATTGACTTCTTAAGCATGCAGTATTTACTGGGAATACTGCAAGTATTACTATTAATATGCTTTGGTATACTTTTGTGTCTCTTTAGATGTCACTATTTGTAAGACTTACAGAGGAAAGAATAGCCATGTAGAAGATGTACTTAAAAGCTGCTACACTATTATTATATCTGGAATAAGTTCAATGTTTTTCAGTCTCTAATGCTTGCCAACTTGAAACCACATTGAATTTTTACTGCAAAAAGTTTTGTTTTCTCACATTAAAGAAGTTGCATTGCTTTACTTAATGTTGGATTTTGGGATACTGTTGTTGATTGAAAGGAGATCTTCAAGCAAGAATTATTTTTTCTTTGAGAAAGAAAATACAATGGTTGAAATTCAATCAAAAGGGATCAATGTTGGCTAAGAATGGAGAAGATAAACGTCAATATGAAAGAATTAGCCTGTGAGCAGGCACTCATTTTTCGTACTCTAGGACACTTGTTTTTCCACCTGCAGTCAGGGGGACATTTGTTAGGAGTGTGCCATTTTTAGTGCTTGACTCTTAGCAGACCTTTTCTCGGCTGAATTCAAAAGACACTAACTTTCTTGCTGGTAAGAAACACTTGTGTCAGTGCAAACAATGACAGCCTGCTTTAGGCTAAGAAAGAATGATCTAAAGAGATTTAGCCAAACTTTTTCAAGTTGCAAAGGTGACTATACAGCTCATGGAAAAACAAAATATTATTTTGCTTGCAGGTGGAGGTGACAAAGATTCCAGAGACCTTCTTCAGATGCGTATAGAAAAGCAATGGAGGAAGGGAAATGATATTGACTTAAATCAAATAGGAGGGTTTGAGAAACACACTAAAGGATTTGGAGGCCAAATGATGAGAAAGCAAGGCTGGAAAGAGGGTGGATGTCTTGGTTCATCTCAGAAAGGAATCACAGAACCTGTTTTTGCTGAAGGACAATTACCAAAGTGTAAGAGAGGCTTGGGTTACTATGGTGAGAAGTTACAGCGACATGTAAAACGAACAAAAGTTGAAAGAATTATATCAACTGTTTACGATGAACTGGAGAGCAATGAAGAGAATCTGTTTGAATCTTGGGGACCTGATAAACTAAAGAATCGAGTGGCAAATGAATGAGCAGCAAAAGTAGTTGGCATGCCTCCCCTTAGTAGGTGGTCGACAACCTTTAGTGACCATTTTGTTAAAACTGGGTGAAATTGAATTGGGGAAGAGGGGAAGTTGTATGGAAGGTGTTAAAAGAAAATAAGAAAGTCATGGTGTGTGCCAAGACTATTGCCACTTATTGTCAGTAGGTTTTAACCTCCTGCAGTAGGTTAAAATGCCCAGAAAATAATTTATTTATCTAAACCTTATAAAAATTGAATATAGGAATTTATGATACTTACCACTTATTCATTTTGAGCTCTCAAGAGTAACTTAACCTTTTGAAAATTGTTTTCAAATGTTCTAAAAACTGGACTTCTCTGTTGATGCTGTGATTTTGAAACATCCATGGAAATTAAGCCACCAACTGTGAAGTCTTTCTCCTCTTCTGTTTATCTTTTGGCAATCTTTTTAACCATTGGGAGCTATAGATGAAGGTATTCTTGACTCAAATGATTATGCTTTTGTGGAAATAATCAGACCAGTAGCTGTTTGTGAATTGCACTTAGTGGTTTGCATGTGCAGCTATGTTACTGAGTTTTTTTGGGTGTAATTGCACCTGAGTAGTTGAAACTTAAGTATGTTTGAAGACAATTTAAGAAGAGTTGGTCACTCTGAAGAGTCCCAGAATGCAAACAAAGTTATTAGGTATTCTTTAGAATACTGGTGATACAAGTTACCTGGTTTCTGGGATATACTTCTCCTATTAGTACATATTTAGGCTTTCGAAGGAGAACTTCCACAAAAACTTGAGAATAAAATTTTATTGACTTTTTTTTTTTGGTTGAAAATTTCAACACTTGTCTCAAGTGACTTACCAGTGGGAAACTCCACTTACAAAGAACTGTTTAACTGCAAGGTTTAGCAAGACCATATTCACATTTTTACATTTATAACACATATTGTAAGTTACATGTTTCCTAGTTCTATCAAAGGCCTGAAAGGAATGGAACTTAAGACTTTAAACTGTCAACAGGAAGTATGATTTTGAACAATGTAATGTTAATTGAATTGAATATTCTTGCATGCATGCAGGACTGAAACTTCTAGAGTAAATATCCACACATTTCTTTACACACCTCTCTTTTTGAACAAAACAAGCTTGGTTGATTTGACCATTGTCAAAAACTCAATTCTGAAGTGAGCTAGACACCAATAGAGATGATTAAGCAACACAGTCTCCACCATTATATTGAACACTATTCTGTAGAGTTTATTTATTATGAAGCTCAGAAAACTGTGAACACTCTTTGAAAAATATTTTTGAAATTAGTTATGCGGTTGAATCAGCCAATCAGTTGTGTGAACACTGAACTGTCAGTGGTCATTATTAATAGTAATTTCTCTGGGGTAATGTGTGTTACCTGATCTCCAACATGATATAATAAACATTCCTTAAATGGTTCAAGGGGTCACTTTTTTAGAGTTGTACAGTAAAAATTTTTTGCATGCATGAAAAATTTTGGGAAAATGTGTGAATTCATAACATTTTAACTGCACACTCACTACACACTTTTCTTTTCTGTTTTATAATGTTACAAGGTCAGTTAATTTGACCACTGTCAAAACTTAATCCTAAAATCTTACTGATCTTAGTTGTTTAGCAGAATATTTAATTGTAATTGAACTGATCGGAGTGCAATTTGGTCTGAAATCATTCACACAATTCCAAAAATCTGATGAGCCCACAGCGCAAATCAATGTATAGAAACCTTTTCACTCCACTTAGAAACTAATTAATTAGTATTGCTTAATTCCCCACAAACCACTTGGAAAACCCTCAGCCTGCTTCAGATCTCTTGAATACCTTTGACTCAATCTATCAAAGCTATCAGCAATTTCACTTGCTAATTGAGCAGCCTCATGTGTTTGTTCTCCTTCATTACGCATTCTCAATTCATTTCTTTCAGCATCATTCCATATCATGAATGTCTCCAGGTCAGAGGCCAACTTGAACAGTGCTTCACGGTTTGCCACAACCCTCTTAACTCTTTCCTCTTGTCTTTTCTAGAAGTAAACAAAACCAATTTCAAGATTTGATTTTCAAAGGTAAGACATCTTTTAGCTTGTGCAAAGGTTTTAGGTGTTAACTCCTACGCAATATTTTGAGTCATTTGTTGGGTATAGTAGGGCCAATTTTCTTTGGTATGCTTTCTAAAAATTCCTCCAACCCTTTACTCCCAGAATTGATTTACATGTAAATTGTGATTTAAATACAGAAACTCAGCAGGTAGAAATTGTTATCTTGATTTAACACCAAGTTCTTGTAAATAATTTACAAAGAAAAGTTTAGCAGCAAAAGGGGAAATTAACAATAACATCTCAGGAGTTAAATGGTTAATTGTATTCACTTACTTTTCGTCTTTCCATAGCCTTTCTCTGTTTTTCGTCTAGTTCTTGAGCAGTGAGTTTACTTCTGTCCTTCGCGCATGTCTTCTGTAAAGCTTTGGGCACTGGAGATAGAGGCTGCTTTTCTTCATCAAATCCAACAGTAAATGCAATGCTCCTGTTGTCATGAAAAGATGATTTTTTCAAGCTTGTATGTTTTTCCTTCTGATTTTTGGGTTTGACTTTAGGTGGGTGTTCTTTTGACAAGTTGTTGTTTTTGTCATCTACAGCAAGATCTTTTGTCGTTTGACATGTCAAAGTTCTAAAATCTTTTGCAACATGACGAGCTGTAGCAAGAAGTTCAGAAGACGTCATTTTGGGTGTCTCATGACTGGTGCCTCTCTCAGCACTTATGAGAGACTTTTGTTGTAGGAGGAGTTCAACATTGTGTGCAAGCTTTCGAGCAGCTTCTTGTCGATCATGGATTCTTTTCAGTCTCTGTTCCACTTGTTGCTGTGAAGATAAAATGAAATGTGAAGACAAAGTGTTTATTTGTCTTTCAAACTACCTAATTTAGTGAGTTAAAGAGAGTGGCAAAAAAAACCAAAATTTTCAATCTAAATTGTTCCACATATCACTATGAGAAATTAGATCTTCGTTTTACAGACGGAGCAAGAAATGATTTTTGCTGAAAGATAAGGTCATTTGTTGGGCCACTGGCCAGTTCCTGAAGGGAACTGAATTTTTTCAATTTAAATGCATGGAAACTTGTCAAAAGCATCCTAAGAACTATTATTATGATTATGATTTTATTATAAATTTGTGGGATTTGAATTAATGAATTTCCACATCCAAAAGTTTTAGATTAAAGCAATGAATCTCCTGAATCCAACTCTTTTTATACCATAGGAATGTTTCAATTTAATCAACTCACTTTCTTCCGTCTTTCAGCCATTATTTGTTTCTCTGTGAGCCTCTCAAGGCTTATGTTTTCTCTTTCTGTAGTTTGGTCACAAAAATGCTTTGGTGGTGGCCTACAAACTGGTTGCCCTGTGGGAATGTGGAAGGCAACAGCATTGGTAGCCCTGCTTGATGTTAATACTTTTCTACAGCTATTTGAAATATCACCAGTCTGAGAATCTACTCCTTTCCCTTTAGTGTCATCCTCAGTTGACTGCTTGCTGTTTTGAAAAGTATCTTGCATTGATGTCTTTTCCTGCTTGTTGTTCCCATTCTGAAAAATTTTCATATTTTAGTGTACAGAATATTGATATTGGGTTAAATTATGCCAAGGTAGCAACCATAGTTGCATTTATAAGCACCTTTAGGGCCTTAGTAATTTTTTATCTTGATTGAATACCAAATTCTTGTAACTAATTGAAAGGAAATGCTTACAATCTAGAGGGGAGAATTAACAATTAGATATTAATTATCCCAGTAATTTATCTCTTTTTCCTAATTAAAGAGTGGCTCAGATTTTATGAGTATCATAATAAATAATGTTCATTTCTTTTGTTGAAAACCAATGATAGAGACTTTCAAATACCACCCAAAATCACAATAATTAAACTTCTATTTTTTTTTTCATTTGAGGGATGGAGGGAGGGAGATGGAGGAAGACTTATCAGAGAGGAAGCTTTTAGACACCAGAGAGAGAGAGAAAGAGAGAGAGAAAGGCTTTATAGACAGGAAGGCTCATTGTGTGAGAGTCATTCAACATATAAGAATATTTTCTAATTAATAATATAATGAAATAATTATGCACATCTGATTGGCTGAAAACAAGTGCATTTTTCAACACAGGTGCAACTAACAGATAGCATGCCTGCTGTCAAAGTTTTGTCTGCCTTTACTTTCTGTGATGCTTTTTTCATGTAAATTACTAACAAGTAACATGATTTTTTGCGCAATTTGGTGTAATAAGCAGTTGTAAATTTCTCAAAGACTACAAATTGCACTGGCCCTACAAGTTCATGCAATTTTGTTGTCTTTGAAAAATTTACTCTTGCTCATTAACACCAAATTGCAATTGAAATCATGTTATTACTTATCTGAATTTTCTCCCAAGGGTGGGACAGGTATACTTTGAGTCAACCAGGCACTTCAAGGGAAATACGACAGGTGCATATTTTGAGAATTTAACAGGTATTTCAAAGGCAAATTATGTTTCTGCTGTCCAGCAGTGAAGGATGACTTAAGTCAAATAATGAATATATTAACACATTTGTAACGGTATTAAATTAGGGCCAGACACCTTTGATAGGAAGCGACTTCAACAGTTGTGAATTTTTTCTTTCTTAAGCAGGAATGCTAATTCATTATAAGCTCACCATCTCCCCACTTTCTGGTAGATAGAAGAAATGTTCGAGTTTCCAAGGCATTTGTTAGGCCAAATCCATAATTCATTCATATATTAGTCATTTTTAATAATAGGTCCGTGTTTTTTGCAGTGCTTGCTGAATAAACGGATCGAAGTATGTAGAAAACTGGTTTCGTTTTTTAATCGATCTGATCAAAAGTAATGCTAGAAAAAGCGTTTTTAATTGCAGACACGCCAAATGAGAGAGTTTTATTTTCCGAAACTTTCACGGCACAAATCTGCAAACTTACGTTTGTGGCGAGGAAAGTATGCATACGTCAGGTCTGGAGACTAAAATGCCGTAACTTTGCGCGATTGGATCTGTGATTCTTTAGATTCCACAAGCTTTCGGGAGAAAATCATACCTCTGTCAGCCAAAATGAGATCTTTTTCTTGCAAACTGCCTAGAGCTCTGGTTTTCTCTAGAGAAGTCTCAAAATTCTAAGGTAGCGATAAAATTGTAAGACTAACCTCGAAGTAAGTCTCCATCGATCTTCGTTGATTCATTTCGCTAATAGTTTTCACTTCACGGTTACTGATTCAGGACGCTAAATAACGGTTCACCAGTCCTCTTAATACTAGGCTAGATAACTCTTTGCATGCATTAGAAACGTTAGGTATTTGACAAAATTTTGTTGTGTCCAAAACAAATTGACTCGTTGTGATGTTTACATTCTATGTTGTAATCTGATTGGCTGGTTGGAATGCCGAGCATTATCCCTGGAGATGATCCTGGAAACGAAGTTACCACGTTCGTGGAGACGAGGCTTGTGTGAGAGACAATAAATTTTAAAAAAATCATGTTGGCGGACGAATGATGGCGGAAAAGCTGCAAGATGTTTCCGATATCGAGGTTTCTGACGTTGATGTTTTCAGGGATACATCGTTGAGATACCTAGGTAAGCTCTGAATTTATTTTAAGATGGTCACTGGAGAAGAAAGTCAACAGCTTCTTATTTCGTCTCGACAGCCCTTTTAGACATCATTAATTAAAGCAGAATGCACAGCTGTTTGCTCTTACTCTTACAAATGGCTTTTTAGACTGTTCATCAATTTATCCAAACATAACCGTTTCGGAGAATTGTACTATTTCATCGCAAAATTCTCTAATTTTCTCAAAACACATCAGGAGCTGGTTTACATGAGAAGTTGCTAGATCCTCCAGGGATGACTGCATTTGAGGTACCTCTTTTATTGACTGTTTTCAAGATCTTCTGGAAATAACATGGCTTATAGAAAGTACACATTTTGTACCCACATTAGTGGTGAAAGGAAATTACAGTGATTTCTTTTTGGGAGATTCTTACCCAAGTTCAAACGTTGTAATCGTGTGGCATGGTGGTTAGCGTGCTTTATGCACGATTTTTCTGACAAAATACCAAGACACCCATACAAAGAAGTATCAGTGAACTTTAACAAACTGTTTGGAACTTTGTGCAAAATCCCATTTTCCTAGGGACAGGGTCTCTTGTCCTCAACATGTGTTGTAGGTACTCTTTTTGTTCTTCCATCTTTTTTTGACAAAATTTTTAAGGATTTGATGTTTTACTCTATCCTTAAGAAAGAGATCTTTTTGGTCAAAATGTTGTAGACTAATTTCGGATCTATGCAAATGAAGTTGAATTTGAGAAGTAGCAACCTTTATTGGTGATAATGTATAGTTCTCATTTCTCTTGTCCTCTATTTGTGTTACATTTTTTGAACCTGACAATTTTATAAGGGACAACCTTGGTTTCAAAAGGCTAGGGGCTATCTCTATTGGATGCCAACTTGCTTCATGTACACCCTTATTCAGGATAAGCTCTGAGGTAGTTGTAAACTGTCACGTAATGTGACCCATGAAATTTACCTATTTCTTATAAAAATTACTTCAGATTAATGTTGGCAATACAACTTCACAGCTTTACTAGCTGTAGCTTTGATCTTGTTCCACAACATGTGCAAAAAATAGTGAGCTGTTAATCAACAAGAATACATTTTCACTTCTTGTCATGTGATTTTGAAGTAAAGAAATCTACTTCTTATCAGTTTCTTAAAATCTCAGCTTTTTTTCTTGTTTCTTTGTGAGTTAAACAGTGGATATCCAGTATTCTCCAATGGTAGTCTAGAAGCCAATCGACAATAAATACTAGCTGAATGTTTGACTTCCTTGTCTACTGAAAGAAGCTTGTGCTTCAGAAATGAGTAGCAAGCAAACACACTGGCAGCTGATGCTTCTAGGAATATTCTGTATCAATATGTGTGAATTAAATTGATTGCGATTTAAGCAAGGTACCTGTTTGAAATATAGGACACCTGGAATCTATGGAGGCTTTCTGTTTAGAGAAGCAATATATTTGAAGTCATTTTTGCACGTGTGAGAATGTAAGGTTTCCAGCACTTCTAAATTTGAAAAAAGGAAAACCTTGTGATTTGAATTTACTCCAAGGCCTTGTTGGTCAACCCTTTCTACTGGATCCTTACTGGTTGCATAACTTTCTTAAACTTCTGTTAAAGCAGAGTTTTAGTCAAATCAAAGGATATTAATAGGATTTTGATGGTTGAATTTTGCTGGTGAATACAGTTATATTTGTGTAGCAGAGCGTTCTAAGGGAGTTTTCATGCTTTGTCTCTTTCCTCTCATCCAGTCATGTATGACGACTTTTTCTAGTTAGAAGCAGTGAAGGATGGAATCTCCATGTAAATAAATTGCGTGCAAGTTAATCAACTGTATAAGTTTACTAGTTCTGATTCTAGAGTCAAACTTGTGTAAAACAAAGTAAAGAACTTCACATACCTTCATGTTAAAAATTGCAAGCCATTTGGTTCCAACTTTTGACTTAAAAGAAGCTGTTTCAGTTGGACACTAACAAAGCAGCAAACTCTGGCAGCTTCCTGGGGCTAAAATTTTGTTTTCATTCCTGTGTTATCAAGTAAGACTGGTTTACAGTGTTGTTCACTGGTTTTCTGTGTCTGTGATCATGGACCACAGCAGGAGCACTACTCCTTTCAAAACAATTTGTTTATCTTAGGTTTTAAGGGGCTGTACTTAAAAGCAAGTCCAGTGTTTGAAACAAGTCTTCAGCAGGTGTTCATTTTCATCAGTAAACAGTTTCTATTCATTAAAATGCAAACAGAATGCTAAGTGTTGAACTTTTACCAAATGACAGAAAAACCTGGTTCCTTGAGCTATTAATAATAAATAGTGTTCCTTTATTAAAAATTCATTGTTTTTAAAACAAGTATTTTACCTTTTAAACTCTACTGTTCTCTGAAACTGACAGCCATCACTAAATTTGTTTGATTTTGAGTATTTGCTCTAACTGTTGTTTTTCTGTCTTCCACTAACTTAGCACAAAGCTTTAAATTGTGTACATCTTGTTTGCAATGAAAGTTTACTTAAATTGCATTTAGTTTATCTAATAGCTCAATGTGTCAGAGGACTTATCTTAAAATACCTGCAAAATTAGTGAACCATTAACCCACTTCCTTCTCTATCAGTGAGTAAGCTAACTAGAGCGTGAAATGACACAAGGTTCAATTCTTGTGTTTTGAGTGACTTAGATAGATTTGAATCAGACAAGTGATATTTTCACCTTCCATTATCATAATTGTAGCTTTTGAACTCATTAGGTTGTAAAATAGGATTGACCTCAAGAAATCACCAGAAGGCAGCCTCTTGAGATGGTGTTTGTCAGAAGTTAAAAGTAATTCATTAGTCAACAGTCAAGTCTCGGAGATCTTAAAAGAAGGTTGAATTGATTTTCCACTGGATTTAAACCCCATATAATTTAAACACAAAAGCTTAAACATTTTTTGTTAAACCTGGTTTGAAATTGTTTTCTTCACAGAAGTTTTTAAGATTGATGTTTGTCACCTTTCAAATCTAGAACAACGAAAATGTAGGTTAGTGCCTAATTTAACCCTAAAGTATGTAAAATCAGTGTTTTTCCTTTTCTGTCGCCAATTTTTACTCTCTCTGAACATAAACCTGGCTGAACTAATCATGTTTTTCTGTTGTCAATGTGATATTACCCTGCTTTTTTTGATCTGGGTAAGATCTGTATTGAAACAATAAAGGGTGAAATTCTGTTAACAAGCCCTATAAATTGTATATGCCAAATATGCTTGACTTGTATGAAAACCTTTGCCAGGCTTGTTTTCAAACAAGCTATAATTTTGATTGTCTGGATTGTGGTTTAAATTTTACTTCAGTTTAAAGTTTCTCAGACCTAGTTTATTTTAAAGTTGAAACAAAATGAAAGTAACAAAAAATTTGTTTAATTTAGCTGAAGACTACAAATTCATAGGAACTATTTATTTGTATCTCCAAATTGTGTTTTCTGTGAAAATTTGGTCACAAGTTTGTTACAAGGCTCTCGATATATTAGAACTAACCACTGCCAACATTTTTCTGCCATTCATTTGTAAGCCTAGTTTTCTCCTTGCATTTTCATTCCCCTTCCTGCCTTGTATCTGCAACTCAGGCTTCCCCCCCCCCCAAAAAAAAAAAAAAAAAATGATGTTATTAGCCGTAAGACTAAACATTTTAGTGAAAGCTCCCATTTTAACCAGGTGCATAATTGTCTCCCTTCACTCTCTCCTTGTCATCACCATAAGAGAGTAATATAGAAAATATGAATGCTCATGTTAGGATGGAAAGGGTGAAGACTACTGACCAACATGACTTCTTCTATACCAAATGTGACCCCAGCCACTAATAATCATTGCTTAGTTCAAAATTTTTCATTAAGATTTGTTGATACCCATCAGGATATGCCAATGAATTTGGTGAGGCATTCCGTTCCCACATTCCTCGGTTCATGTACCTTGGTAGCTATGGAGTTGCCTCCACCTACTGCCTGGCAGACTCCATCGACAAAGGGAGGCAATGCTACCAGGAAAGTACCCATCTGTCCAGCTACCTTCAGAAACGCAAAGCAGTTGAAACCATGGTAGAGGCAGCCATCTGGCAGGGGTTGGCTTCAGTGATCATCCCAGGGTTTACAATCAACAGGATTTGTGCAGCATCTAGGTTCACTCTTAGCAGATATGCAAGAGGAGTGCCTCCTAATGCCCAAATGTGGATGACAACTATTGTGGGACTAAGTGCAATACCCTTTATTATCAAACCTATAGACAGGTGGGTGACGTCAGTAGATAACTTATTAAGTTTGTTAAAGAGTGAGGTAACCATTTTATTGTTTCTCCTTGAAAAATTAAGCCTAGTCTGTCAAAATCAGTCTGTGTTGATCTTCCACAATTCTTTAACTCCCAAGATCTGATTGTTAACTCTCCCCTATAGCTGCTACACATTTTTTTGTAAATAAGTTACAAGAATTTAGAGTTAGATCAAGATAACAAATTCTACCGAATACTTTGTATTCTTGTCACCTGTTTGCTCAATAATGTATGGATATTATAGGGAGAAGTTAAATGTTAATCACTTCTGGTAGTTAAAGGGTTACCCATCCCTGTTTCTCAAGTATGACTTTTTCCTGACCTTGTTTGTCTACCCTAGAAAAATTATATGTTTAGTTATTCACACTATGTACTTACCTATGAAACTATAATACTCAAGGAAATAGTGTCAAACATTTCAACTTTTTCACAATAGCTTTCTTTCTGTCATTCAGACTGGTGGATGGTGTAATGGATGGATTAATCCATGTTTCACGACAACTTGGTATCTCTCATCAACTGGATCACAGCCACAAGAAATAAAAACTGAGAAATTCCACATGAAAACAAATTTTTATGGACAAATTACTTTCAGCCTTGTTTCCTCTGGCTCTGTAATGGTGACCACTGGTACTTCACACCGGTTTTCCTTTTGTCAATAATGAACTTATTTAAAGTGTATCTTGAATTCCTTTTCTGTCTTAACTTTCAGTCTCACTTTGAATCTTAGGCAAGGACATTGATGTACATAAAAATTGCAACATATTTTTTTGGGTGAAAAATTATGCAATATTTAATATATTAAATAATAAATAAAGGCAATTTGCTGCAACCAGACTCTTCAATAAACTTGATGTCAGTTTGTTTTTGAAGCTATATCATTGGTGTCCTTAATTCTGCACAAGTTGATGTGGACCATTAACCCCTCCATCAGTATGCATATTCTCCATACTGTTCTAAATACATTTCCTATGGTGCTGGCAAGGAGAAGTTATATAACATATCAAGAGCTTTTTTAGTCAGTGATCATTTGCTTTATTCTCCTGACCTGAATGTGTGATTCAGGGGAGATACTGTAAGGAGAACTTAGTTGTTAGACACCCTTAGGGGTCAAAGGGTTCTACAGGTGTTGCACTTCTGGGCTTCTTTGGTACTGTGGTTTTTTTTTTCTTTTTTTGTCTTGTTTTGAGGTTTAGAAATCGTTACTTTAATTAAGAATGTGATAGGTAGTTTGTGATGCTTGGTATCTAGGATGTCAAGGTAAAGTTTGAAATGTTTAGAAGGTAAGTAAGGAAGAAAAATACTGAGGAAGGGACACAGTTTTCCCACTAATCAGGGTCCAGTCAAAGTAAGAATTTCAGCAGACTGCCTTTTTGTTGAATTTGAGAAGTTGAGGGAAGACATATCATTATATGAAAAGAGCTGTCATTCTACAATTTCTAGTGTTTTTCTCTCTCGACAATTTACAGCTCACCAGATAATTTATGAGTGGTTGTTATGAAGTATGTGTGACCCCCAACACTTGGTCTTTGGATCATGTTACAGACACAAGATGGCATGGTGTCGAAAGGGAGAAAATAGATGAATATTCTGTAGTGAGTTGTGGACATCTGTGAAGGCCTTACTTGACATGAGGCACATAGTAGATAGCAGTCTATTTCCCTTTAATTATCCATGTGCCATATGCACACAGCTGACACTGTAGAAAGGTGCTTATCTCTAGTAGAATAAATTGCTTTTGTGATTTTTGTCATGACAGGAAAAAAAATTTTAATTGATTTAAAAGAATTCCAAAGCTATACAAATTCTAAAATTAACACAAAAATCATCACTTTTTCTATCCTCTCTATACTGAAACATGTACATTATAAGATATCACTATTTTACATTAATTTATCATGATAATATAAAATGTAAAAGTTGAATGCTGATCTCTTTCACCAAACAATAGTCATAAATTTTTGTAAAACCAAGTTACAGTGTCTGTTAATGATAAAAAGTCACAATATCGGTAATAAAAATAATAATAAGGAAACTTGGCTAAAAGGTACTTCAAATAACTTAATGCCATTTGCAGGTTCTTAGTAAATTCATAATCTTTGCATTGGTTGCCCAATCTCTAACAAATCAAAAGCATTGGGCCTCCTAAAACCAAAACGTCTGTGTATAAAATATTTTGATTGGTCATTCTTGGCTGCCCTTCCTTACATTGAACAGAACATGTCATAACCCGCATACAATTTCTTAACCCCAACATAAGATGCTTAACATAGGTCAAAACTGGCCGGCCAAGTCAGTCTAAAAATAAATACAATTCTCCTTCTACTAAAATTGTAGTGATTATGATAAAGGAGGATTTTCTGAAAAGAATGGAAATGGGGCTGCTTAATGAAGTGATAGAGAGATAAAGATGGAGTTGATTAAGCACATAATGACGATCTATTAACTCACTGCAACATTGCACTATGTTGCAATATTGCATGAGCACTGAAAGGAAAGAGAAAAAGGAGGAGACCAAAACCTAACACAAGGCAAGGCATTGAAAGAGAGAAAAGTAATGAATATTCTGCAGTGAGTTGTGGACAGCAAGAGCTGGAGACGATCTGTGAAGGTCTTATGTGACATGAGTCACAAAGTAGATAAATTAAGGGTTACTAGTAACAAGATTTCTGTTCATATGAGAGAATCACTGCATTGTCTAGAAAGTTTATGACTGATAAAAAGTCTCCAAGAAGCTCCTCTTAAAAAGGTCTACTCTAGACCCAAATTAACCTGTCTGATTAGTCAATTTTAATTTATGGTGAGCCCCCTTTGATGTTACATCAAGGTCACACTTCTTGTTGCATTTGCAGTATTAGCAACAAGACTTGAATCTTAAGCTGTAGAGAGGCCTCCTTGGCACCTCTATTAAATTGCATTGGGGGGAGGTATTTAACTACAAGGTAATTGTGGAACTGAAACTGTCTTGATAAATTTCTGCCTCACAACAAACAGGAGGGTTGTCATGTTTCCAGCAAACAAGGTAAAAAATACCACACTGAGGCCAAGAACCTGAAAATATATTAATGTCAATTAACATTTATACAAGCAAAATGGTACTGCAATACTATCAACAAGGCTATGCCTAAATCTTTATTTTAATTTTCTTGCACTTCATGAGCCTCAGGAGGGTTTTCTGTTATGACATGAGATAGTCCTGATTATTCTAATTTGTAGAAGGAATTCCTTTAGCTTTCTTACATGTAAGAGCACTAGAAAAGAAGCAAAGGTAGTTTTGTATGAGGAGATAAGCATACACAGACCATGAAATAGCTCCTTTGAACTTGAAAAATTTGCTGGTGCATAAATAGAAATGTATCTATGTATTATTTCGCCCTAAACTAGTGATTCATCTTCCAACAAATTAGCACAGGAACCTTACCTGCCACTCACTGCAGTAAGGGTGGAAAGACAGTCGGTAGAGTGTGTAAGCATTGAACAACTGGAATAACTGTGGAAATAAAATCATGTGTAATAAGCTGAATTCCACATACATTTTGATTAGTTCTTATGCTCTATCAGAGGACAGACGACGTCAGCATTACCAGTTTTTTGCTCTTTATTACAGGAAAAAAATGGATTCATTGTTGCTATGGGTGTGTCCAGTAAAAGATCACAGAAGACATCAAATTTTGGCAAGAACATATTAAATAACACACTTGGCTGTGCCGTATGTGTGTATGATATCACCTTGATCAATTTCTGAACAGATACACAACAACATGGAATCTGTTTGCTAATATTGTACACTGGCAAGATAAATCTTCCAAGAATAGAACACTTAACACATAGATGGAAGCCATCCTTGCAGTTGTGAACACTACTTCAGTGGTAGTGAAAATAAGACCTGAAAAAAATTCAGGCCTGTACAAGATTTGGACCCAGGCCCAATGCAATACTGGTGCAGCACTCTACCAACTGAGCCAACAAGCCAACTGGGAATTGGTCATCATGTTGGTTCCAAATAAACCCTCAAAGTGGTTAATAAATGACTGTAAATATATGAAAATCATATAGGTTTCTTCAATCACAGTTCACTGCATTTCTTTCAGGCCTTACTTTCACTACTACTTAAGTAGTGCTCATAACTGTGACGATTGCTTCCATATTCGTTTCTTCAATCTCAGTTTACATAAATGAATTTCATATATTTACAGTCATTTATTTAGAATAACACACATTTGCTAATTTGCATTAAAATACAAATCATTTGCTGCATAAATTCTATTGAAATATCCTACTCACATAGCCAACAATAAGAAAAGGAATAATGAATCCTAGTCCCCTCCACATCCATGAATGGAAACCCTCTGCAAAACAATTTGTTTCTCAGTCAATAATTGGTAAGCCAATGCAACCAGTTGACCTGAATACACTACACTTACTTTGTAACAACTACTATCTGATAAGTTTGAGTATTCTCATTACCTGTTTGCAGGATAATGTCTGGATATGATGGGGAGAAGTTACATGTTTATCACTTCTGGAAGTTAAATTTTAAATGTGATAGACAGCCAATACTATCAGAAAGGTTAGGGGTCCAAATTGACACAAACCTCGAGTGACATCCATGTTTTTGCTGACACCCAGTGATCTTAATCGGTACAGAGCTCTTGACTGATATCTAAACTGCAGAAGTTGAACGAAACCTGAAACACAATGATAAAATGATGAGTGTTCTACTTGTTTGTTTAAAATGAAAAAATAGAAGATGATCAGGGTAAAATAGCAGAGGGAGGGAGACTGGGGATATGATTTTTCTTTAGTACCTTTCTCAAATTATGAGACTCTGTGTAGTTGTTTAACAGAATGAAAAATTTACAATGTAATACTTACTAAGATATAAAGAAAAGTAGAAAAACTGTCCCCTAAAAAGTTGGTAAACCCTTCCATCTGGCCTGAATAGAAAAAAAAAATTTGTTGATATAGATCATTGAACTCAAAATTTAAATAACCATCTTTGTTTGTTTTAGTGTAATAAATTACTTTGAATGGAAAAAGTGAAATGACTCACCATATAAGAAGAAACCCAGATAAAATGATGGACAGATAATGATGCATAACCCACCAACCTTTTATCCTGTGTAAAGAAAAATAAATGTATTAAAACCCTTTCCACCCTAACATCAGTATGCATATACTCCCTACTGTTCTCTATACATTTCCTAGTGTGCTGGTAAGGAGAATTTGTTTAACAGTCAAGAGCTTCTTCAGTTAGTTATCATTTCCTTTATTCTCATGACCTTAATGTTTGAATCAGGGTTGATATTGTAAGGAGAAATTAGATACAAAAGGGGTTAAAGGGTTGATTTATTCCTTTGAAGTCATTTTTTCAAATTATTTGATACTCACAATGTCAGTGAAAAAATCAACACTAGAGAGGTGTGACAAATTAAATGAATTAATAAAAAAAAAAGACAAACTAAGTACTTATAAATAACTTAGTTTGGTTCATACCGTGAGCCATTAGCCATAAGAATGTGTTCTTGAAGGGTTAGTGTACTATAATACCACAATAACATCGCATGGAACAAGGCATCTGCTATCCTACAACAATCATATTACGGTAATATCATTAATAATATTAATATTCATTTAATCTTCTAAAGTGCTTTAGTTTAGGCACTTATGAATTACTGAATTTCTGGAGGATTTCAGATCAGAGAAATTTATTTTAGGCCTTGTGTTTCCTTTTTTACCAAGACTCATAGTACACAATCACGATATGTGTCCAAATGAATGGACCATGTACACTAAGAAGATAAAATTGGCAAAATTTGTCAGGGGAGGGGGTCAACAATTTAAACCCCCCCTCTAGCAAAGAGATCTAGAGTACTCATGGTCATTTTTTCAGTGAAAAGAAATCATGAACACTTGAGATGGTGCCAGTTCCTGTGCAGACTTGACCTTTTTATAATGGGAAAGTATGTGCATGTTTGACTGCTTCTACTCTTGACAGGGTTACTTTTACAAAGTAAACCAGTAACATTATGGGAAACCAAATCTGATTTAAATTGATCATTCAAGCTGGCTTATCAGTGTTTAGGTGCAAAGGAAACAAATGTGACTAGGAATTGAGATGAGAGTGTTCAAGTTTTTTTTTTAAGGGTGATCCCAGAAATGGCAGCCATACTGTGATAGTAATGGAAAAGAGTACTCTGACCAGTGGATTACCTCTTCCATCTAGTTTTATCATCCTACATGCAAGTACTCAAATAGTAGTACTTTAGGCTTGATATCCCAAAATAAAATATACTGTTAGTTGACATTTATTATGTGAGAACTCAAACAAATTTTTCCAAAGTATTTAACATCAGATCCCCTAAATCACTCTGAAGCTGGAAATTAATATAGAACTATACATATTCAAATATATGTAACAGTGAACTTTTAAGCATAGAAGAGCAAGGGTGATTCTCATTTGTAGCTGCTGGCACTGAAACAAAGAATGTGTTTTGATTTATAAAGGTTATAGCCATTTGTATACCTGTAGTTAAAGATGTACAAGTTTAATATGGTAAAAACCATGCTTATCACTGTCATCTTTAATTTAAACTTCTCGTAGTCATCTTTGTATGCCATCCTAAAAAGAAACACAAAAATTATTGGCTATCATATACTCCAAAAGAGTTATCATGGAAAGTAAATTGTATTGAAAACTGTCCTTAGAGCTCAACATTATACTCATAGAAAAATAACTCACTTTGAATTGTAAAGTGAGACATTGATGTTTCCCAGGCATAGCTTTAGGAATAACCTGTGGAGAGGAAAAGCATGTCCAAGAATTAAGCAATGACATTCATTGTTAAAAATGAGAATATACAGATTACAGGCAATTTATAATAGGAGCCCAGTTAAGCTGTAGTTTAGTTGGCTGGGACCCTGTTGAAAAGGTCTATATGGAAACCCTGATCAGGTTATTGTGAACTACTGTCTTGAAGCCAAACCCTTCCCCACCCCATCCTCACAGTATTTTTATTGGGGGGGAGGGGGTGAGGGGGAGGTTTGGAGATGGAAGAGGGAGTGAGCACTTATTTGAGGCTGGGCATTGAGAAACATTTCCTACCAACAGGTTGGGCCTTATATGAAGTTGGTAATTATTAGCAGTTGGGAACTGAATAAAATTAATATGTTTAAAATATGTTTAATTAATAAGTTTACAGTTTTTCAGCCATCAATTAAATATGCTGAATCACTTTTCTTTTCCAATGATAAACCATCTGGCTGCCATAAATGATTGAATAAATAAAAATAATTACCCTGCTTGAGAAGGAAGGCTTAACTCAAAATCTTTTATTTTTCTTTCAAGGTCTGAGATTTTTGTCTGAAGTTTCACAAAATGAGCTTTTTGGTCACCAGAGAGGGGTCCATCTTTAAACCTACAAGCAATCAAAAAGGCAACGGTTATAAAGTAAAGTTCTAATACCTTGCTCATATGTATTTTCCAGTTGTTGAAAATATTTATAATTTACATTGTGAAATATTTATTAAAACATGCATTCTGGAAAATGATCAATCTCCATTTGAGCTTAACTTAAATAAAACTATGAGTATCTCATAATCTTTAATAGAGTCATTTTTGGTTATAAAGAAAAGCACATTCAAGTGGAAGGAAGAATGTAAAATGAGTTATAAAGGTGCATCAATGATAAGGATTACATGGATCAACCCCCTGAGTATGCATATTCTCCATACTGTTCTCTATACATTTCCTTAGGTGCTGATAAGGAGAATTTGTTTAACAATCAAGAGCTTATTTAGTTGGTGATTAGTTCTGTTACTCTCAGGACCTTAATGTGTGATTAAGAGGTGATATTGTTTGGAGAAATTAAATGCTTGTCACTCTAAGGAATCAAAGCGTTATCTTTAATCGCTATCAAAACAGAAAAGGCTTACCGCTGCAGAGACTCCTGAAAATCCCTCAGTTTCCGTTTTTGCTGATTAACGGCAGACGCACAGGATTTCTGACTCGAATGAAACTCGTCCAATTTCTGCTGATAGTCTTGGAACTTCGTTTGCTAAAGATCACCGAGAAAAATTGTTTTTGTTTTAAACGGACGTTTGAAACAAGGTAATGTTCTTCCTGGAAAAATTATGTTACATGCCTTGTCTTATTCGTTGTCACTTTCACTATGAAAAACAAATATTTTCAGATCGAACAAGCTATCAATTCATAGCTAAGATTTCTTTCGATCTATATTGGAATTACTAGCTGTTTTCTACGAAGGGTTATCGTTACTGTCGAGGAAATCATGCATTAAAAATGGAAAGAGGCTGAAATTTTAGTGATTTGGTGTTGAGTGAAAAGCTGGAAGATCGATAACCAAATTGTGATCAATCATTTATTATTGCATTAGGTTTCCTAGAGAAGTCTTTTTCGTGAGTAATCACTCGACATCGAAACTGATAAAAATTTCCAAGCATTAAGAGGCAAATTCAAATAATTAGTAAACACGGGTTTGCTCATGAAATAAAAAAAATCACTTATGCACGAGTTATTTCATTGATCATTAAGTGCTCTCGCGGGCGCCGCTATCATGGCATCACGCTAACCAAGATGTCAACTTAGATAAAAAAAAGAACATAGAATAAACCTTGAACGTTCGCGTCTCCTCTTCCAAGTGCTGCCATTCTTCTTCCCATTCTTGAAGACTTGAAATTTGTGCAATAGCCGCCATATTGACAAGACCCGAAGAAATACTACCTCGCCCCAGTCTTTTTCTTACAAGTTGAAAAATGAAAAATCCAGTTGCACTGGTGCTTGCTGCGGGCGAAGATATTTCAAGAAGTACTTCAAAAGTAACAGTTTCTGTTATCTTTTTTAGTTATAACCCAAACAGTCAGTGTTTGTTAATAAGTTTGATATAAATCTTTCATATGATCTGGTTTCCTTCTGGAACGTGGACTGGACTCTGGACTTGACTCTGGACCAAGCAACTTTGTCACGAGCTCCTCAACCAGGACTTTGACCTTTGGTCTTCAACACTTCGATGAAGTTTTAATCCCGGAAATGAACCCTCTTTATCGCTACCGTACGCACTTGTTATTTTTGTTGTTATTTTTCAGATTTTTTTTATGTTTCCAAAGTTCTTTCTTGTGCCCTCCAAAATTTTCATATTGCCATATAACATCTCGTCAAAGTTGTCACAAGTCAGAATTTTTCGATTGAAGCATCCATTGTTGGTTTTATCATTTCCCGAGAGGGATCTAAGTGCACAAAAGAAACTTTGTTTGCAACGGTATTGTAGGCACCTGGATTTATAATATCCCATTATAGGATTTTAACGATATGACAACGCGAAGAAAATTTACGTTAAACAAAATAAACGCGAATTTTCCAAAAGTTAGGTTAACATAAATTGAATTAACGCCAAATTTTCGAAAAATTTTAAGAAGAAAGGCTGAAGAAGTTAGCTATCCCCACGGGGAAACGCATCGATACGAAGACCAGTTGAAAGAAAAATTGTTAAATAGTGCCTCGGAGGCATTGATAGTTGGGCAAGGAGCAGATGAGGTTTTTTTTATCAGAATAAAAGTGCTGTAAAACGTTAATGATGTAAAACAGTATGATTTAAATTTACATAGACGTAAGTTAAGATGCATTCAATTAACGTGATTTTTTCAAAATGGCATGAATAAAGTGCATCGTTAATTTCCTATAATAAGGTAGTCTTTGTTCGTGCTTTTAATTTCGGTTTTTGCTTAGTTTAGTTTTCGCGTCCTTGTAGCTTTTGTTAATTAGTCTTATGTGATGTACTTCTGTTGTTCCCCATTTTAGGTTTTAGTTTGTATTTTGTATGTTTTGGCTCGGTTAATCATTTTTCGTTAGATTAGGTTTACATTATTTCTGCGTTACATTCTCGGAGATCAAAGGGCTGTCAGTTGATTTCTACTCAGCCCTGAGTAGGGCCGACAACACTAGACTTCGTCAGAGCAAAGGGTAATGCTCATAACGTCAGATTTAGAGACTCTCTTCGGTGGCTTATTTTTACTATTTCAACTCAACTGACAAAATCACATCATTTTGGAATACCCGGCCACTGATGAAGCACCACGGTTCTCTATTAACTTACCCCTATATCAATTTCATTACAATTGGAGAGAAGACTCCAGAAACGCACTCCAAAAAGCTTTTCAGCGTAATAATTACATACATGCCAGAAGTTCAGCACGGTCATTTGTAGATAGTGTATCAAACAATCCCAAAAAGTACGGCAAGTTGAATCTTTTAAGAGTAATTTAATTTTAACGAGTACCCACATCATTTTTTTGCGAGGTTTGGGTTGAAAAGTCTCCTGAAACGCTTTTTTTAAACTACAGATTGCATATAGGGTGCATCCAATGCTCTCTTTTCCCTTAAAAGCACAGGCTTTCTCATTTACTTCGAATGCACTCGCAACATATTCATTCGCCTGTAGTTACCGGCTGTGCGATCAATTAGTTCTTATTCTGCTCAAAATTATACGTCTGTTATTTCTTGAAAATGTTTTCGGTCAACAAAATCATTCAACAGTGGTGCCATTTAGTTGAAAGTCCTAAATCTGAAACTCTTTCAACTAAATAAAATCAAAATCTCAACTTTAAACTCTCGGAAGTGATTAACAGGTAAATTCTCCCCCTGAAAGCCATACATTATACAGAAAACAGGTAATGAAAATACTCAAACTCATCAGGTGGAAGATGTTATCTAAATGTAAAACCAGATTCTCGTAACTTATTTTTAAGGAAATGTTTAACGGCTTGGGGGAAGAATTAACAATCAGATCTTGAGATTTAAAGTGTTTGAAAACAACGCGTTAGCCCCGAATTATTCGTTCTCCATCAAGTCACGGAAAATCAGGTAGAAAGGGTGATTAGAAGCCTACCATCTAACAAAGCTCCTGGAATGGACAAGATATCCTCCAGAATTCTTAAAGACAGTTTACCCAGTACGCTAACAACAATTACCCACATTGTGAATAACTCCTTTGTTACCAACACATTTGCACGTGCATGGAAAACAGCAGAGGTTACACCTATTCTCAAATGCGGTAATCCAGATGTCCCTAACAACTATCGCCCCATCTCATTATTACCAATAGTCTCAAAAGTCACTGAAAGGTTGGTACATGGACAACTTATGGAGCATCTAATTAGAAATAATAAACTGGCAGCACATCAGAGCGGAAATAGAAAGCTTCACTCGACAGAAACAGCTCTGTTGTACGTTACAGATCAGTTGCTCCAGGCTATGGATAACAAGAAAGTTTCCATCATGGTCTTATTAGACATGTCTAAAGCATTTGATAGTATTCGACACGACATCTTGTTATCCAAGCTACAAAATCTCGATTTTTCCCAGGGTGCGTTGAATTGGTTTCAGAGTTACCTTTCTAACCGACAACAGTGCGTTCGAATAGGTGACGCAGTTTCTAAAGTACTCCCACTTGAGTTCGGAGTTCCGCAAGGCTCTATTTTAGGTCCGGTTTTGTTTACAATCTATGTTAACGACCTCCTTTCTGTTCCTAAACGTTGTCTATCTGCCTCCTATGTTGATGACTGTAAATTGTACTTGTCCTTTTCACCTGCCGAATTACCCACGTCCATCCTCGCCTTAAACGAAGATCTTACGAGAATATCTCAATGGTGCTGTAAAAACTCTCTTTTGATTAATCCGGACAAAACTAAGGTTCTAGCTGTTGGATTACCACAACTTTTAAAGAAACTGTCATCATTCAGTATAACACTTTTTGACAAGGAAATAACACCTGTGCCTGTCGTTAAGGACTTGGGTGTTCTTCTCGACACACACCTCAGTTATAACCAACATATCACTGAGATTGCCTCTAAATGCCTTTTTAAATTGTACCAAATTAACAGAATCAAACACCTCCTGGATAGGAAAACACTTCTGTTAGTAATAAATTCTTTTGTCTTTAGTAAACTCCAATATTGTTCAACTGTCTGGAGTAATACCAGCAGCAGCAATATTGACAAGCTACAAAAAGTCCAAAACTTTGCCGGGCGAATTATTCTGGGACTAAGAAAGTATGACCATATTTCGGATGGGTTGCGATCGTTGAAATGGCTTCCTATTAGAGAGAAACTCATTCTAAATGACGCTACTATGATGCACAAATGTATTAACAAGCTTGTTCCAGACTATCTTGCTGATATGTTTAAATCACGTTCTCAAGTCCATAATAGACAAACTCGATCATCTGGTGCTTTGGATATACCTTTATGTCGCCTGTCAACAGGGCAGCGCTCCTTTGTTTTCAGAGGAGCCAAACTCTGGAACTCCTTGAATGATAACATTAAGTCTTTAAAATGCCCCAGGAATTTTAGACGTCATCTTGCAAACGTTTTATTAAGTTGATATATTATATTATTGATATATATTTTGTAATTATAATATTATTGTATTTACCTTCTCAATTAATTTATATATTTGTATTTTTTTTTTTTTTTTCTATTGAGCTGAAAAGCCCACTTAGGGAGCATCAATAAAGTGTATGTATGTATATATGTATGTATGCGTGCGACCGCGGTCTAACCGCGTTTGGTGGGCGTCCTGGTAAAGAGTTATTCTGTTTCCAGTGCCCTGACCGTTCTGAAGAAATTGGCGGCCTGATTGAGTTCTCCGAACGAGATATCGCGATGCATACAATTTGAAAGTACTTATTGCGTGAGAACGTGCTTTTACGTGAATTGATCTTTTATTTGACATGTTAGTTGGGTAAATCATGACCACCCCAGCGCTTGGACTGAGTAAAAGACCAAGTTTAACTCAAGATCGAGAGAAACTCCAGAAAGACCAGGTAAAATCTCAACTCGAAAGAAAAATATATTGGTTTTTTATCGAAAGTAATTCCATTTGGGAGGCACGATAGTATAGTGAAATACTGATTTATAACTGAAAAAATCTCTTATGTTTCTTTAACCGTTTTACCAACCAAATTTTACTCGAAAAGTTTCGTTCGTAGCGATGTGAGGAAGTCATTCGTAAAATTAGCCTCATACAAAAACAATGCAGAATGAATGATTTCCTCTTGAAAATTTATCTAAGTAAAATGACGGGCTTTAGATTGTAACGAGATATACATTCAGTGTAATTCAAGTGTTGCACGTGGCTCTTTTATTTTTTTGAAAGCTAAATGTTCACAGCAGACTGAACAGTTAACAGAATTGACGCTCGCCATTGAGTTGAGACTTAAGTGGGAACGGTGACGTTTTTAAAAAGCTGTCAAGTTCCTATCGCATTTGTAAACATTTGTACAGTCATCGCCTTTTGATTGAGGGCATAAAGAAACATGTCGAACTCATTAAACATGAAAAACTGAAATAATCTGACGCTATTTATAACACGCAAAGAACCTTCACTACAAACATTTCCGAAGGAATTAGAGATATCATAGTATGGAAAACTTCACCGAAAAAACCTACGCTCTTAGTTTGCAGATATTGCCCTTGACTCAGTTAAACAGGCATCAATTTATTTGCAGATTTGGAGCTTTTCAATGAAGCTACATGTAGCTGGTGTCTTGCCAAAAACTCTGAGGGTCTTTTCACAGCTTTTACTTAATTTAACTGATGAGATGAGGTCAAATAGGAATTAGTATTTATTGTGACTCAAGTCACCTGATTAGGGGATAAATTTGTTAAATGAAAAGTGTTCCTGGATACCATGGTGATTGAGAGTGCAGGGTTGAGAGATAAATTTTTAGTC